CCTCAAAATGGATTGTCAGGTCCGCCTGGTTCCCACGCATAGGCACTGGAAAGACTTTTGGCGGGAAGGTGTCTTCGATAACGGCACAAGTTAGGAGGTTGAAACTTCACGGAGATGTTCCTTGGCCGCGTCTAATCCAAAGATTTCAAATTCAGCCTTCATGCATCCCAAGGTCTCATGCGCGCACGTCGAAGTTTGAAATGGCATCATGCCAACCCGTGATTTAAGATGCCTAAGAAGTTGTAGGAAGCCACAATTTTGCAGGGTTACTTGCTGCCCACTGATAGGTTCGCCGAAAGTAAATTGAATTTTCCAGCCCCTCTGCACCTCACATGATTTCATGCAAGTAGTTTTATAAATTCGGAACTGAAGCAGCTGGCTAGCGGAAGCGTTCGACCGGGTAGACAATAAAACAACTTCCACTTTCCTTTCGTGTTTTATGCATCTGTCACGCATGAACACTTGGGATTTCACGTGATTCCACAATCGAAGCATCAAGAGTGCCGAATTTTCTGGGCATGGACTGGGAGTCATTGTAATAATTTCTAACAGCCGTGATGGCTATTCTCAGTTCTCTTAACTAGTGACCCTTGGATCACAATCAATCTCAAATCACCAAATGGAATAAGAGAGATACTTTTTTGCCAATGAAAATTTTAGCGTACAAACTCATGTTCTCACAGCAATATACACGTTTTACACAAATGCAATATGTGGATGTGACCCATGCGCTGGAAAAAATTCACTGTACACGTCCGCAAACAAACAAGAATTTATTGAATCTTTCATAACTGATAAGAAAAAAGTTCAACATAAACAACGTTTTAATTCTTGTAACCGCGCGACTTTCTACGTCCACGTGCCTGAAAAATTATAAATTTAAAACCTGTCTTATGCTTATCATTAATCCTTCAACTGCTCGCGTAAACCCACAGAGCAATTCAAGCGAATCGCTATGTTGCAAAAGGAAGAAGGTGCTAGTAGCAAGGAAAGGAAGATGGTGGCTAAATCCCCTTCACCTTGCCCCGTTGCCCTTCGGTTTCCTGTGATATGCAAATGTCCCGTCCCTTGATTCGAGTTCCTCTTCCGTGATATTTAATGTGGTGATTAGAAATGAACTTGAAATTGTTTCGGTGTTCCAAAAAGTTGCATGGTGACGGCTTGGAGCTGCTGCCGGTTTATTTCGTGGT